GTACCTGCATGCACCCCAAGGCTCAGATTCAGCACGAGGTTTTGTAGCTTTCTTGCTCAGACCTGAGGCCTGGGGATTTTCATTTCTACTCTTGGTGCCCAGGAGCATGCGACATGTGGGGAGTCAATTCACTTTTTTATATTTATTTTTTTTTGTGAGGTAGATCGGCCCTGAGCTAACATCTGCCAATCCTCCTCTTTTTGCTGAGGAAGACTGGCTCTGGGCTAACATCTATGCCCATCTTCCTCCACATTATATGGGACGCCGCCAAAGCATGGCCTGACAAGCGGTGCATCAGTGCGCACCCAGGATCCGAACCGGCGAACCCCGGGCCGCCGCAGCGGAGCGCGCGCACTTACCCACTTGCGCCACCGGGCCGGCCCCTCAATTCACTTTTTTAAAGGAAAAACATCTGTCACAGCATATCTGGCCTGGGTTGCTGACACCAGCATGTTCCCCTCCAGGAGCATAGAGACAACTTGTGTCCGCCCCACAATAGCACTGTGTCCCTAGAATCGTTTGAGAAAATTGCAGACATTCCCATCAGAAAACCAAGTCTACATTTCAGAACTTGGGCATTACATTCCTCACATTAAAAAGAAGTACATATATACATATATATATATAGAGAGAGAGAGAGGGAGAGAGTTCAAGGGTGCTCATAGGCTTTCAAAAAGTACTTTATTGCTTAAGATCCTTGATTTATAAGTGTGTTTATAAAAGCACATAATATTAAAAGACATTCTTTCAGGACGATCAAGAATCACCCCCTCACTCCCTAGGGTGAAAAAAAACAAAGATTTTTTTATTTACAAAGTTGATGGTTCAAATTTTAGCCAATATGGAAAATGGGATCCAGGTGTTGGTGACGACAGGCCTGACACTTTATGGGACGTGCTCTTTATTTATATAATAAAAATATGTTTTGTTTGTTGAACACGATTCTGGAATCCAGACTTGTTTCACATAGTCGGTGGTGTTGAAAATAGCCTGGCTTCTAGGAAACCTGCCTGAGTGTAGACAGAACGGGAGGGTCAGAGGTGGTGGGAAGGCTGGCCCCTCGCTCACTCCGAGTCCGGAGCCTGTGCAGCTCGGGCGGCAGGAGGGCGTCTGGGGTCCAGCGGAGCTGATCATGCAAGTGGTCTCCAGGGGGCACAAGGAGAAGAAGAGGGGCGTCTCCAACCCCTTCCATTGCCTGGGTGTCTTCACGACATGACCCATGAGTCAGAGGGAATCAGAAGACACCTTCAACGCCTTCACCAGGGAGTGACTGGAGGGGCAATAACCATCACTATATGAACAGGTGTCTGTTGCCATGCTATTTGTAATCACAGCAATTAGAAGCAACACAGTAACTTCCAATATGGGAATGACTGAGTAATTCATTAGAAACAATTGAATAAAGAAATGCACAGGAAAAAATAAAGGACTCCTTGAAATCTTGTCATATCTGGGGAATGACTACCAGAGGAGGCCCTGAGGAATAGTCCTAGGAGGTGGTCCTGCAGGGTGGTCCTGGGAGGTGGCTCTGGGAGGTGACCCTGAGAGGTGGTCCTGGCAGGTGGCCCTGGCAGGTGACCCTGGAGGTGGCCCTGGGAGGCGGTCCTGGGGGATGGCCCTGGAGGGTGGTCCTGAGTTATGGTCCTAGGAGGTGGTCCTGGGTGGTGGTCCTGGGATGTGGCCCTAGAAGGCAGTCTTGGAGGGTGGTCCTGGGTGGTGGTCCTGGGTTGGTGATACTGGGAGGTAGCCTTGAGGTATGGTCCTAGGAGGTGGCCCTGGGGGTTGGCCCTCATACTCCCTCCCAAGCTTCCAGAGGCAGAGGGGGAGGGGTCTCAGGGGCTTGGAAAGCAGAGTCAGGTGAGCAAGGTGAATGTTAATCGACAATAAAGAATTTATACCTGGGGGCCGGCCCGGTGGCGCAAGCTGTTAAGTGCGCGCGCTCTGCTGCAGCGGCCCGGTGTTGGCCGGTTCGGATCCTGGGCGTGCACCGATGCACTGCTTGGCAAGCCATGCTGCAGCGGCGTCCCATATAAAGTGGAGGAAGATGGGGATGGAATGTTAGCCCAGCGCCAGTCTTCCTCAGCAAAAAAAAAAAAGAGAAGGATTGGTGGATGTTAGCTCAGGGCTGATCTCCTCACACACACACAAAAATAATAAATAAATAAAAAAAGAACTTATACCTGGAATTGTTTTTACATGTATTTAACCAAGTGAACAGAGTCTTTTTGGTGTCGTATCATAATCCTTTATCTATGAAATATACAGCCAGTGTGTGACACAGACTCAAATTTTCTGTGTGGAGGGAAGTCAGAACCCCAGGGCCACATGAAGCTCCTCTCATGGTGGGGGGCGGGCCTCACCCATAGGAGGTCTCCTAAGGCCGCAGTCCCACAGGCATTCAGAAGCAAGCATCTCCCTGCTGCTTTGGGCATCAGATTCATCCACTTGAAATATGTGAGACAGATCTAGGGATGGGGATGAGGAGCCAACCACGCACTTGTTGGTATGTGCCCGGCAGCAGTGAGAGGAGGAGGGGGCATCACAAATGAGACCTGTGCACTGTGTGACAAGAAAATGTCCCACGGGCGGCCCAGCTCGGCCCCTGCACTCTGTACGTGAGTCCTCCCGCAAACTGATATGGTGGTTTTCTGTGCTGAGATGTTGAATGGGGTGGATTCTGACACACGCCCAGCCTGTGAGAGCGATGACCGCCGGAGGGGATCCAGTGGGGAGAGGGGGTCTGTCCAACCTGGCAGCTGAGGTATGTTCTGTGGAAGACTCTCCTCTTTCCAGAAGGACCTTTTGGGTGGGCTCTTTTAATTATCCCTATGTAAGCAAGAACCCACTTCTTCCTCAGAGTCTGGAGCCAATGTGGATGCTTCAGCCTGAGATAGTGACATTTATGTTGAATAACAGCAAAAGGGCAGATTATTTCCGGGAAGAAATCTTGGATGTGAACTGATCTTGTTTCCTCTGGTTTGGGCCAGAGACAGGGAGATGAGCTTAGGACTCAGGCAAGAGAGTGCAAGGGGAGGGAGTTCTTTCCTGGGGAAGGTGATGAGGCTCCAGGACGTGGTGGTCAGCAGGTGGTCCCCGGAGGCGCAGAGCAGAAATAGCTGATGGCCAATCTTAAGTCTCTCCTTGTGAACTGCGTTTCCTCTGTCCTTAAGGCTTCGGTGACTAATTCAGGCTAGTTCCATCATCAGTGATTCTCATTCCTGGCTGGACTGGTACCTCCTAGGAACTTCAAAAATACTGATGAGGGCCCACCCAAGGTGCTGATTCATTTGGGCTGGGGTGTGGTGTGGTCCTCAGGACTTCTGAAAGCTCCCCAGATGATTCTAAATGTGCTGCCAAGGTTGGGAACCACTGCACACTATCATTCCCTCTAATCCCTGGCTACTTGTGCTTAACCAGCTCCTGGCCACAATCCGAGGTGAGCCGTGATCAATGAGTTCCACGTGGACAGCTAGGAAGCCCGGTGGGTAAGTGGGAGACTGGAGACATGGAGACGAGGATTCCTGATCATTTCGGGCCCAACCCTTTGCTGCCTTATGAGGGATGATCTCGCTCCCTCGGTTCAACCACCTCTGAGATGGATCTCAACACCTTCCCACCGTCCGTCTTCTATCAGGAGCACAGGGAGCAATCAGAGATGACAAATGTGGACGTGGCCCTGAGAAATCTGCAACAGTGCTGTAATATTGTTAATACCCTTTACCGTGTTTACGATATTAGGGATTCAACACGAACCCAACACTGGGCAAATTAAAATTCTGTTCTTCCTTGGAGCCTCTAGGTGAAAACCTGGTCTTACTAAAATTGTGCTTACATCAAATCCCACCCCTACTTAAAGTAGGATTATTATTTTCATTTTTCATCTTGAAAATTATTTGCAGACGTGCTGGCTGGCCATGAATCTCCAAGTATTTTGCAACTCAGCTTCGAATTTTTTGCAAGGTTCTGGCAACAGCCATGCAAAATGAGAAAAGACTGTTGAGCTGGAATGACAAATGTTTTGCAAGAGAGGGCTCTGAGACCAGGATAGAAAACAGTGTGCAGTTATCTGCTGGTTGGTTGTGATCAATCTTGTTCTTATTCTTTCCATGGCAGAAAAGAATTTGTCATCCGTGTGTCCTTTCTACCTCCTCTTTGAACTTAAAGGAGAATTGGAAAAACGGGACTCTTTCAAGGATTTTTGTTCTGAATGCACAAAGTGCGTCTTCCTTGTAGAACTCCTCAGAGGCAGGGACATGTGTGGCTCCTTGGGAAAACGCTGCCTTGCTGCACAGAGATTTTCAAACCTGGCTGCGTGTTTAAATCAACCGGGGGTTCCAGAAGGAAGAAAGTCACTTCTGGCCTGGCTTTCGGAGACATCAGTGGCGGCAAAGACTGTCTGTGTTGGAGGAAACAAGGCTGCATGTTCTTCTTCTCAGATGGAGCTGTGAGCAAGGCCTTGGGAGAACAGAAGGCCTTTCTCAGGGTCCATTCAGGGAGCCCCTGAGGGGGAGGTGAAGAGGAGGGCTCTGTGGAAAACCCACTTGGAGACACGGACTATAAATGTCTCCCTTTTGGGGGGAATCTGCTCCCTTTTTATGTGTCCATTTGGATCTCTGGGTCAGAACCAGAACTCAGGGGAAAGGAGCCAGCAGCAACTGAGACAGGAATGAGGCCACCTGTTGAGGGAATTCTGCTATCGGGACCACTGTAGGCAGTTTTTCAAATTCCCCGAGAGCAAATGGGGTGAAACCAACCAAAGCGTGTTGTGCTACCTGCCTCAGAGCTCCCACACCCACTACCAGTATTGCCTGCTGCTCCCAATCTGCCCCCTACAATGGCTGTGAGGGGGTGTGGGGGGTGAGGGATGGAGGGATGGTCACTACCCCGGGTGGCCAGAGCTGTCTTCCTCAGGGCGTCTTCCTAGTCGGTGCAATGAAGCCCACTGTGGCTCGACCCTGCATCTCTGAGGGCATCTCTCACTGCTGCTCCCCTCTCCGCACCAGCCTCCCCTCCACCCGGGACACTCGCCCCATTTTCCACGGCTGCGACCTGCTGGCCTGCAGGTCTCTCCTCCGCAGTGGAGGTGCCTCCTCCTGCCAGCCCGCCCGCCGCGGCCGCCGCCTGCACAGCACTCGGCACGGCCCCCTGCTGCTCCTGTTTCGGCATCCCGGTGCTGTCCTCCCGTGGCCCCACTCCTGCTCCCTACACCGTGCGTGACGAGAAACCTGCACCTACTTCTCGCTGTCCCTGATGCCTGGAACGCCCCGCCCAGCAGGGGACTCAGGCTCTTCCCTGAACGAATGAAAGCTTGCTCAGGCTCTTCCAAGGCTTCCATGGGTATTGAAATTAAAATAAATATTTAGTGGGGCTTCTTGTTTGCATGTTTAAAGGCCAGGAGGATGTGTCCATCGTCCTACAGCTATCGATTCTCTCAACTCTCCTTCCAACAGCAGGAGGGAGCTTGTGGGACGGAAAGGTCCCCTGCATCTGCAGGTCCCCAGAAGCTGGGGCTCTCCAGTCCTGGAGAGAAGTCCGGTGCCCCTGGTGTGGTCCATGCACACAAAACAAGGTTGTACGTTTTCTGTGAGCGTATCATGTACGTCAGACCTAGCATAAACATATTTACTTATTTACATTTTACGTTGTGGCCAATTTTATTTTCCTACGATGTAAAAGTAAAGTCAGTATATGCTCTAGATTGTTTATATAACTGAAACATTAATATAGTGTTATATCTGACTGTATGCAGTTTGTGTATTTATATGGTAAATATATTTTCCGTGCAATGAGAAACATAAGTATAAGCTGTATCATTCTGTAAACCTTCTGTTTAATACTTGTAATTATTTTAATGTATTGATAATATGAAGTACTTTCTTTTTATTGTTTCAATAGAGTGGACCCAAAAGTTTTGTGCTGCAGTGGTCATGAACTGACACACAGACCCCTTGGAGCTGTGATCACCTCTTTAGGAATTCGTCAAAATATTCGCTTGGAGGTGGTAGGAACTAGAAATCTCCGGCAATTGCTGATGAAAGGTTGAAGAGCAGAACCTCATCTGTGCAGTGGCACCGCCTGCCACCAGGGGGCAGACGCAGCTCGTGCTGGACCCAGGTCCTGGAGGTGGGAGGACAGAGCCCTGCGTCCAGGCCAGGGCTCGGGCAGTGGTCGGGGTGCGGAGAAGTGTCCTGGGGCCATTTGGAGGGCACGACAGTTTCTAACCCCCACCTGGAACTCCTTGAGATTCGCCTTGAAATCACCCACCAAGCTGAAGCCAGGGGCCCTCCCCAGGCAGCAGGAGCAGCAGAAAGATGTGGCTGTGAGGCCCGCAGCGTGGCGGGAAAGGGGAGGACTGGGACGCTAGCCGCAGCACCCTGACACGCCGGGGCTTATCCCGAGACGTCCTGGTCAACAGTGGCTCAGCTCGGATGGCCCTGGGGTGGTGGGGGCACTGGGAGGTGCTGGGGCCTTCTCGTCTCTTCACTTTTCACAGGCTTGTGGTGCTCGGAATCTGCAGTTCTCCATGATTTAGAAAAACGCCCTGCAAATGAATTGTTATTTTGCAAAGCTGGCTTGTAATGAATACCTTGGTCAGAAAATGCAAGTCTGCCTGACTCCCTTTCTGTCATTTGCAAAGAGAAGAGGCAGAAGCAACACTCGGACCCACGTGGTACCCAGTCCAGAAAGTTGGAACAAAGGGATGGTCGCAGCAGGAGAGTGACGTGGCCAGATGTAAGCATCATGGAGCAGTCCAGGCTGGCCCCCGCTGTTCTCCCACAACAATTTCCTCATCATTCTCCCTGTAAGGTTAGAGTCAGTGACATTGATGTAAAATTAATTCTAAAGCCACACCAACTTTTGGGGCTGCAAATATTTGAAACATACCCACCTGCCTATTCCTGCCTGGGAAGTACATCCCGTCAGTCCACAGCCCACAGGGTCAGAGCTGCGAGCTGGGTTGACTGGTTGCGATTATTGACGAACCTAATTCCTAAAAGAGCATCATGTGACCAGTCCAAGGCTACTCTCGAATGGCGTTAATCTGAAGTGGATTAAAGGGGTCACAGGAGAAGACGCTACTCTGACACCCAAAGGTGCTACACACTTTTCTGTGAGGAGCTCGAGGGAATTTAAGTCTGGAAACAGGAACCATCACAAGGATCAGGAGATGCACAGATCATCAATGTTTCCTGTGTGCGGCTCCTGCCCAGGGCTCAGCCATGGCCAAGAGCACCACAGCAACCCTCCAAGAAATCCTGAACAGACCTCGCGGAGTCCGCTGTAAGAAGTGCACAGAAGTGACCTGAGATCCCATGAGCCGAGGCTGAAGGTGGCACTCTTCCCGTGTGCCGCGCAGCCAGTGGTAAATGTTGACTTAGCCGAGAGCTCCGATGCTGCTGATAACACACATGGATGAGCATCTGCTGGGCTGGCAGGGGTGTGGCTGGGCCAGGAAACGGGCTTGTTGCTGACTCACAAACACCAAGGAGCCAGACTTCTACATGTATTTAGGTTGTCATTGCTTATTGGCAAAGAAAAGTGGCCTCAATTTGTTCCTAAATTCACGTGGGGCTGATGCCAGGAGGGGCCACCAGGTAGCCTGCGAAGAAAAGTCACTAATCCTGATCCTGTCTTTACTAAAACTTTTGGTATTTTCCCATTTGGGGATTCGCCCATTTTCTTCACCTTAACACCAATATCAAACTTCCTAAATACGAATGCAGAACTCCTGATAGAGGGGTTCATGAGTTTCCTGGGGCTGCTGTCGCAGGGTCCCACAAACTGGGCAGCTGGGAACAAGAGGAGAGCATCTTCTCACAGTCCTGCAGGCTGAAGTCTGAATCCGGGTGTGGGCAGGGCCCTGCTCGTCCTGGAGGCTCCAGGGGAGTCTTCCCGCCCCTTCCAGCTTCGGGGGGCCCCAGGTATCCCTGGGCTGGGGCCGCATCCCTCCAGTCTCTCCCGTGGCCTCTCCTGTGTGTCTCTCTGTCTGCTCGTCTTCCTGGGACAGCAGTCACTGGATTAGGGCCCACTCTACTCTAGGATGAGGCACCTTAAGTTGCTCATGTCTGCAGAGACCCAGTTTCCAGATAAGGTCCCACGCACAGGACAGGGCTGGGGCCTGGCCATATCTTTCTGGGGTTCACACCAGGTCACCCCATAACGAGAGGTCAGGCTGCGTGGACGCGGGAGGCGGGCATGTGTCCCTCCCACACAGGTGGGCTCTGCTCGGACTGGCTGTGGGGTTCAGAATTGGGGGAGGCCCCGCAGGAGGAGTCACCACCAGATGGCACTGTTGTCCCAGGGTTTACCCAGGCTGGGCGTGTTCCTGCCCCTGCCCCCTGGCCGGGGAAACTGATCCTGGAGGGAAGCCGCAGTGGTGCTTGTCTCCGCTCCCTGCTTTGAGCCGCTTGCTTGTCAGGCTGACAGGTCTGCTTTCCTTCTTCGGTGCTGAGGAGCCCAGCAGGGTCAAGGGACGCCTCGGCTGGCATCCTGGTGTCCGTATCTCGGTTGGTTTGAGGAGGGTAGCAGAAGTGATTAAGGGTCCCCTCTCTGTATCTGGTCAATAACAAGTGGGTGGCCAGGGTGTGGGGAGACTTCAGATGCCCGGGAGCAGCCTCAGTCAGAGCAGCAGTGTCGGGAGCTGGTGAAGGTGACGGGGCAGAAGACATCAGAGCCAAGGGGTCAGAGGTCATGCATGGTGCCATGGGAGCACATGTGTGCACACACATGTAGATGTACACATGCACATGTATACACACCTGCACACATATAGACCCACATGTACCAGTGCACACCACACCTACACAGGTACACAGTGCATACCATATGCACACATCCACGCAGGCATCGGGAGCAGGCCCTGGGCCGAGGCACACCACGGTGCAGACCGTCCCTAGGCACACCGCGGTGCGGGCCGTCCTGAGGCACACCACAGTGTGGACCACCCTGTGCACACCGCAGTGTGGACTGTGCCCCAGGCCTACGGCCGTAGGAGGTGGAGGTGGGTGACGGCCAGCCCTGGGTCTGCCCTAGAGGCCATACTTGTGAGTCTGGAGTCTTGTCTCCACGGCAGGCTGTTTCTGGATCTCTCTCCTACCCAAACCCACTGTGTGCTCGTGTCTGTCTCTCAGAGCGTCTGCTGAAAATCTTACAGCTGACACATGCCCCCGACAGGTAACAAAGCCCCATTCACCCCGTGTCCCTTTATGGCCAGTATCTGGTTTCCTGGGGATCCAGCGACTTTGATGTGGTGTTTGCTCCTCCGAGCAGACACTGTTGATCTTGAGCAACGGTCCCGCGGCGGGCCCCGCTCAGAGCTCCCTCCTATCACTAGCGCTCCTGACAGACGTTTATTGCCTCACAGGTGCCCGCGGTGGCCGGAGAGCCGGGCCGGCAGGCGGTTATCGATAAGGAAACTTAACCCTCACAAGTGCAGGTGAGCTTCCTCCGCCCACGAGGGGCAGGGCCCGGCGGCCAGAATGAAAGGATGATTGTCAAGGGAAAGAAAACAGACCCACCTGCCCGCTCAATTAAAGAACACCTGTGTTGACTTGTTCCGTAGGGGAATTCATGTGTTGGCCAATGAGCTGTTTGCTTTACCAAGAAAGACCGGTATCTGCAGTTTCCCCTTCTCATCAGAAACCTGACAGCATCTAAGAAGATCACTCTTTTTTCTTTTAATTTAGGAACGTGGGTGGAGGTAACTCTTTCAGGGAAACAGCCTCCATGGTTTAGTCAGACGTGGTGCTCGCACTGAGCTGGGACACGCAGAGCTCACACGTGGGCTCCGAGCCCGAGTTCTGGTTTATTGTCACCTGGGGAAAGGGCGGGAGAGGGGGTCGTAGGTTCCTGTCTGCTTATGCACTGAAATCAGCACTTCTGCGGTACGCAGGGGACACACTGTGGACAGGGGACATGCTGAGGGCAGGGGACATACTGTGGACAGGTGACACACTGAGGGCAGGGGACACACTGGACAGGAGACATGCTGAGGACAGGGACATGCTGAGGAGAGGGGACATGCTGAGGACAGGGACATGCTGAGGACAGGGGACACACTGTGGACAGGGGACATGC